TAGTAAGAAAGACTTGGAGAGACCTAGGCTAGCCTAGGCCAGGCCTGGCATATTTGTGAATAATGCATATACATAGTCATAGGCATAGACATTTCAAACTGTTCTCTATCTATGCTATATCGTCAGTGAGGATATAGATAGGCTAGGCTAGCGTAGCCTTAGGGATATGGCCATAAGGCCTTTGTTGGCCTAACTAAACTGAGGCTATGAGAATGGTAATTAGGCCGTGTTCTCATAATTATTATAATATAGGCTATCAAGTGCATGCTTTATTGAAATAAAGTTGGTGTTTAGGGGTAGGGCCTGGCCTAAACCGGGGTGGTGTTAAAAGCTAGTCTAGCAATTATTATTTGCTGAAAGTTCATGCATGTAATCACCAATTATTAATTAATATAAATGGTGACTTTTATTTCAGAATGTCTTTGTTTGAAGCCTTACTGTGTCTGTGGCTGTTGATTGAACAAACAAACAGAAAATTACCTGCTTTCGTCAGAGGTGAATATAATGTTTTCTTTACGTTTTAAGTTTACTGGTCCTAGGTTCTGATTAGCAACATGCTTAAAATAAATGATATGTACTGTAGTTACTATATGATGACGGTTATTAAATACAGGTCTCCCTCCAATCAAAGATCACTTTTTGGACCGGGATTTTCATGGTCTTTAGCAGCTTAGCTCTCTAGTAAGATGCCCGCTGTCATTTGTATGTCCACCCACGTCCTGTACCATTGTCATGTCTGTTTTTCTACTTGCCCAGTAAATAGCGGGCAGTACACAAATGAACGCGGGCATTCTACACAGCTATGACGTTTCTATAAACACTTTTGTTCTATTTATACCCTTTGATTTGGCATATAAGGGACATTGAAATTGTAACTGTTTTGAAAACTAAAAAAAAAACAGGAATGGAAACTGATAATTCACTTTTGAAAAAAAAACAACTGCTAGTCTCTTACCTAACCGTACCTTTGCTACTGTACATTATGCATATCATACTTATACATTAATTTCGAAGGGATATAACACATTAAAAATTTTATTTATTAAGGTACATTTAATACAACTTAATTCGTTTTCCTAGACATATATCACCTTAATTAAAATTATTTTAAAAATAAAAAATTGAGCATAGGTATTTCAATTGACAAAAGGCCATTTCCCCCTGCCCTTTAATTTCTTATAATTGACCTGTATAGTCTGATTTTTCATTCATTTTTATTTTTTCAAAAAAAGTGTTTTAAAATGCCCAGCACAATGAAATGCATATGCTCTGTTTTACATTTTTGGCATGTTTTTTCATGTTTAAAAGCGCATAGAGGTTTCCATAATATGTGCTCTATATATAAGCCATTATTATTCTTATTTCAGATTATTGTTACATCATTTTTTCAGCAAGTGTAAAACTCCGAAAAAAGTTAGTACAAGCCAACGTGATTCAATATTTCAAGCTTGATTTGATCAACTGCAGAATTTATACCATCTGATCTTTTAACAAGAATTTTAATTTAGCTTGCAAACATTGGACATGAAAAAGCATCATTGTGGACAGCTGCTTCAATATTAAAAAATGCTGGTTAATGCATGCTAACACACAAGGTTCTTGTGATTTTTGTTTTATATACAGTAATAAACTCTAGTGATGATTTAATATAATAGGCCTACATTACGGACAAAAATGCTGATTTATACAGGACTGTAAAGCGAAGGACTCTAGAATAAGCTTGAATTTGAGTTACAGTATGTGTAGCAGTTTTTAATTACAGAAATTATGGTTTGTATATCTTAAACTCAGTGTTTTTTGTAAGTCTACAGGAGTTGATTAAAGCCATTATTATTGTACAAAAAGGACCTGGCACCAATTGAAGACCAGTTGGAACTTGGACCAGTTGAATTGTCCAAAAACACAACCCGCAACTGGTTCCAGTTCCAACTGGTTGAACTAGAATTTAAAACCAGTTGGAGTTGGGACCAGTTGCAACTGGGACCAGTTGAATTGTCAAAAAACACAACCCGTAACTGGTTCCAGTTCCAACTGGTCGAACTGGAATTTTTACCTGGGTATTCTGTAGCCCGAGGCCCTATAGCAAATAAAAATGATAGCAGTTTTGCTAGATTTGGCGACATCAAGCGAGAATAAACTATTTTAATAGTAGAAGCCAGGCCTAGGCCTTAGCTACCAATGAAAACCACCTAAGCCTAGCCTAGTAGTACACCTATAGTATAAGTATAAGTATGCCCCTGGGCCCTAGGCGGGTATTCGGGCTAGGCCCTAGGCCTAAGCCTAGCCTTAGTAGACCATTCTCTATGGTAGACCATAAAATACGCAAGAATAACAGAAAGGATTTTTAACCCAAACATTGTGATAAGCCCCAATCGAAATACATGAAATGGGCCTAAATTTTTATGACATAAATTTGATCGTAACTGTTTGCGCCATGTTTCGCGACGTCGACTTTGCAAAAAGCCAAAATCGAGTCGGTCATTTCTATTGGCTAATCATGACGTAATATCATTTACCGTACCTTTAGCATTCGGAAGTTCCGATACGGTACCGTATCTCTAGCCACGGCGTAAAAAAACCGACATGAATTTTTTTTTTACATAATTACTTAACAGTTTTAATAAACTAAACTACAAGCCTTCGTCAGAAAATAGTTGACGATTACGAAATTTAGGCATTTTAAGTTTATACCAATATTTGTGGTAATTAAACTAAGAAAATAAGTAAAAATTCCACCTACCATGTCGAACTAAATTCTACGCTTTACAAAATGGAAACGCATGAATGAACGGATAGATGTCAAAGTTTAAAATCCCTGGATGATGACATAATCCAGGGCGTAATTACGCCAATATTTAAAGGAGATTCTTTGCACGACCCACTTAACTATCGTCCAATTAGTTTGACGTCAGTTGTTTGTAAATTGTTTGAAAAATTTATTCGTGATGCTGTGGTTAACCATTTAGAGTTTTATGATTTGTTAAGTTCCCATATCAACACGGATTTAATTAGGTCTCGTAGATCATGTCTGACGCAATTGTTAGCATTTTTTCAAGACTAGACGAGGGAGTTCCTATGGACGTCTTATGTTTGGATTGCTGTAAAGCATTTGACCCAGTAGGCCTACCTTATGAGCGTTTAAAGGTTAAACTTAAGTCCTTTGGTATTTACATGGATTTCAAACTTTCTCGAGGATCGTAGACAGTGTGTTAAGGTTAAGGGCTGTAGGTCGTCTTGGGTCCCTGTTACTTCTTGCGTGCCCCAAGGGTTAGCCTGGGTTCCAGGCCCTAATTTTAGTTTACTCACTCTTTATTTCACTTAGTGCGCGCCATACCTAATTTAATTGGCGTCCCATACTCGATTTCTTTTTTTCGAATTAGGGCCTGGGCAAAGGATTCATGCGTGCGATTTCCCACATCAAATTTGATGTGGGATATCGTATGCATGATTGATTTTGTAAATCACGTGATTTACTTCATGCATATTAATCAATCTTGGTAAATTTTCAAAATTGAAGATGCGGATGTCTCGACTAGAACAAGCTAACCAGCTCCCTTTTGGCTACCTATACTTGAATTAAAACAGTTAGTATAGTTCTGGCCTGCTGAGAACGACACGGACTGATAACCGTAGGCTATACTTAGGAACCTTGCTCACCGCTAGCTGCTACACAGATTAGGCCATTAGGGTAGAATGTTGTTAAAAAGGTATGCCTCTGTAAGTAATACGCCAAGTCTTTACTAGTCTAGGCTAGGCCTACTACTCCTGACTCCAGACGAGGCCTGAGCCATCCTCCTGGAAAGTTAAAGTTTTGTTGTATTTGTATGGTATGCCATCTAGTCTAAGCTTAATTGTTTTTGCCATTGCCAAAATTAGTCTTACTAGGGTTTATTCTAAATATTTTAGGCCCGTTTTATTAGGGAGGACTATTTAAATTTAGTCATGCATAACTAGTCGACTCAGTTTCATGGCTCCAATAATATGAACATTTGATTGGTTGAAATTGTTTATTTCGGTCCGCCCATTTATCCAAATACGGAATATAAGATTACGTCATTCTTTTGGCATCCTGGTGCCTGATTTCAGTGTTTTACAAGTCGCTTATTTCGTCTCTAAATTAACTTTCTCGTTGGTGGCGCTGTCCAGAATGAGAAAAATAGTTAAAAAAAATAAGAGACTTGTGGCAAGGCTACCCAAGGGTCGGTACTTGGGCCAACTCTTGATCTATGGTAACGACCTGCTTGGCGACCTGGACAGTGGTGGGAAAAGGCTGCTTGCCTTAAGGTGGTTTGGTTGAAGCCATGTCATGATGCTTTTATCAGGTCTGTGAATTCCTGATTGCTTTTAGGTGGTTAGGTTTGAAGTCATGTTGACAATTTTAAATCAGGTTTTTGGGCTTCTGCTTGCTTTTGGTTGGTTTGGTTCAAGCCATGTTGTTGGGTTGAAGCCATGTTGTGGGGTTTTCATTATGTTTTTGAATTCCTCCTTGTCTTTAGGTGGTTTGGGTTGAAGCCATTTTGTGAAGTTCTCATTAGGTTTTTGAGTTCCTTCGTCACCTTTGTGTGGTTTGAGATAAAGTCATGCGGTGTTTTTATCAGGTCTTTGAGTTCCTGCTTGCCTTTAGGTGGTGGGGTTTGGCATGTCTTCATATTTCCATCTGGTCTTTTAGCTTCTTTAATCTTTTTGCCTTTGAGTGGTTGGGTTTGGCCATGTCATGTTTCCATCAAGTCGTTGAGCTCCTACATGCCTTTGGATGGTTTTGGTTGAAGCCATGTTGTTGGGTTGAAGCCATGCCGTGGTGTTTTCATAAAACCGAAAGGTCCACTGATTAATCTCAGATAAGATAGTATAATATATACTAACTTATCTGAGATAGTATAATATATACTCCAAATATCAAAATGCACGCCATCGTGTCGAGATTCAATATTTCGACATTAATTATGTCATCATCAGTAATGATGTCATAATTTATGTCGAAATATTGAATCCCGACACGATGGCGTGCATTTCTATAATTGGTGTTTTCATAAGGTCCTTGAGTTCCTGTTTGCCTTTAAGTGTTTGTTGAAGCTGTGTAACGGTGTTTTCATTAGGTCTTTGAGCTCCTGTGTGCAGTGGTATGAGTAAAATGTTATTTCTAGTTGACAAATTATGTTTGATTGTTATGTTACAGATGAAAACAAGCAGATATAAACCCTATGCAGATGGATTTAATAGTATTTTGCAAGATGAACCGATGAACAATAATCGTAATTAAATCAGTTTAGTATCATTCAATGCTCAGCATATTGTCATTAGAAAAGCAGAAATGCTCATTATACCTCTTCCTCTGACAACTCAGAGTTTTTGTCCAGATCCTCTTGAATTTTTAGTTGATATTCTTGAAATTTCATGTCCTAAAAGAAATATAATCTAATGTTATTTTATTATATATTTTGTAGAAATTTTCCAAAATTAACACGAGGTACAAATATTATCTAAATATTATAACCCATATTGCATAGTTCTCAAACTATGAGTCGCAACTCAAATTTGGGGTGTCAAGTAAATTTGCAAGACTGTTGAAGATTTAAAGAAGACAAATTCAGATCCGGGCCTATACATTGTTTAAATTCGCCATAGTATAATTTAAAAAGTTTTCTTCAATTTTGTTTTTATGTCCCATTTTAAGTAACATTTTCATCTTGGGAAGTTGGTCGTGGAAAATTGTGATAGAGTTTTTAAAAAAGCTTATTATCATCAATCATATAATTTCACCTCCAATAATTATTTATTTCATTAGAACGAGATGAGTGGCCAATTGGTAAAGCCGGGTAACTACATGTTCTATTAAGCAAGAACAAAACAAATGTTTTAAATGCATTAATAAGTATAATGTTCTCCGGTGTATAGATATTAAAGTTTTGTACTAATTGCTTTATAAGTCAATCGCCCTATTTAAATGTTAGTTTTATAATCAGCCAGTTGTAGTAGTCATTGTTAGCTTTAGTGATATATCAGTACATTTAGCTGTGCGTGCGGATTGTTTATGCAGTACGAGCTAGCACAGCAGTTGCAATGGCATGTACGTTTACACAGTACTACTGTACAAAGAATATATATTTGAATGTGTTTGAAGAACTTGTCGTGAGATTAATATTTTGATAGACATTTGTCAGAGAAATAAAATTCTTCAAGCATTTGAAAAAAAATCATTAATCACATTGGTTAGTGCAGACAGGTTAGATGGTCTCATCTAGCTTTTTTTTTTAAATTTAGACACGACGATTGGGCGAGTGTCTGCCCTGTCTCTCCACAGGCGTGCATCATAGTGCTAAGTGTAAAAACACTAGTCTTGCTGTACGATATGGCAATACAAACAAGAAGAATTGACCTTTTGAACACAAACCAAAAAAAAATGTAAACTGTGCACTAATTAAAACGTAGTGCATTGTTGGGAATTACAGTGATGATGTAACGACTGACTTATAAATGATATGTATAGTACAGTATAGTATGATTTTTTATGTATCATGCTGAAGATAGGCATCGGTCAAACAACCAGATGTAAAAGCAGAAAACGGAGCTCGTTTCGCTTAGCTTAGCACGCGGTTAAATAGCTATTTGTTTTGTATTAAAAATACTTTCACGAATGTGTTATTGAGTGCTATTTTAAAGCTTAACTTTGCTAATGTTATATTTAATCACACCAGAACTCAAGATATTAAAATTTGTGATATATTCCTTCACAGTTGAAACAATTAGCATTGCAGTCATCTGTCTACATCTTCTCAATAATCAATTGATTTAACTATCGTCAACATCAGGAGAGATTGAAATCTTGAATAAACGAATAGATATTTTACAAGTCGTCTCTAATTTGTTAAATCGCCTTCGTGCTCAACTCACACAACTACACTTAGTTAATTCAGCAAATTAGTGCTGTGAGTTTAGGTTACTCTCAGCTGTCCTCCGTTATCTTAACCATTAGTATATCTTATTTAGAAAGTCTATATTTTCCTTTATTCATAAATCATACAAAAATTATCAAGTTACATTCAATTGGAAATTTTATACGTATTACCAGTTTTCTTGCACCCTCTCTTTGTACATCTTCAATTGCTTCTTCCAATACAAACAAATCTTTCTTTGAGTTGGAATTTGCAGCAATTTGATGTCCTGCCACCATTTTTTCTGCCTCAATGCTCACAAACACATCATAAAACTCCTATTTGAACAACAAAAATGTACATATTATTTTCTTGCTTTCAAATTGTATCCTTATGCTATTCTTGTTAATGAGCAACTTCATTCTTATTTATTAGATAACGACTTCCTTTATAACCACCAATCTGGTTTTAGGAGTAAATATTCCACTGCAGATACCAGTTTCATTAACCATAGAGATGATTTGAAAAAAAAAAACAAACTGAGGCTTGTAAATGTAATCTTGCAGGTATGTCCTTATGGATGTTAAAAAATCGTTTGGTATTGTGAATCTTACAAATTCTATGTACAGTAATAAACTTAGGAAATGGGCTTTGACCATAATTCCCTGAACTGGTTTTAATCGTATCAGCGTAATAGGAATCAGGTTGTTGAAATCGATGGTGTTACATGCAGTGTCCCACAAGGAAGCACTATTAGTGCAACTCTGTTTTATGTTGCATAATGATCTATCATCAAGTGTGACTTGTTGTCTATTCACCCTAAAAGAGGAAATCCATACACTTTGGCTCGCGTAAGCGCTTTAACTAAACAAATTTTTAAAGACATTAGAAATATATTTTGTGTTAAATAACTTGGATTCTTACTTGATAACGATCTTAATGGTAACTCTATGGCTATGTCTATTATTAAAAAAAAAAAAATTGGCCACCTGAAATGTTTATACCGCACTAGGAAAATAGTATACATTGCTCTAAAACCATCAAAGCTTCAAATAATCAAAAATAACACTGTTCGACTTACTCTTGGTCTTAGTCCCCGTGACCATATTGAACAATGTTAGATATTCAAATATTGAAAACAGAAAGAAATTATTACAACTATCCCATGATTTTCTGATACCCATACAGCTGGGTAGACTGAAGATATAGATAATATGCCTTGCTCAAGGCATAGTTGCCAACTTAATACGCGGCTTGACCGTGAGATGGACAGATAAATGATCGTTTGCCAGTTTTTTTACACAAAACAAAAGCTTACGGATTGCAATTTTACACACATTTTTCACTTATGGAATGGTGTATACAGTAATATGCTAGAAATGTGCCATTGTGTCTGTAGTGTTTGTTTAATGTAGCAAAGGAACCAAATGACGTGACATTTTAATGTTTTATTACCAAGTACTGCACTGTGCATCGACTGTTTGTATTTGTTTTGTACATGAAACAGTACATAGAATAAAAGGTTCACTATCATCTATTGAAAGACCAGAGTCAGTAGTACTCAAGATCCAATGCAGGCACTACGAGGAAGACAAGGACATGATCATAAGCACTCCATACTATGAGATCGCTATATTAAAGTGTAAGGATTTACCCAATTGAAACTGATAGTAATCCGCCTTCTGTCCCTTACTCCAAACTTTCAAACTCTATACAACCACTTGTTCTGAATTCTATGTAAAATGTGTGAAATTTATTAGTTGTGCTGGATCATTGTTTGTTCTATGTATCATACAATTTGTTTTGTTTGTATTTAGTATGTAGTTAGTCTGTCAATGGCAGTGTAAAATTTCTTTTTTTTTCTGTAGACAATGTATCTTGTATCCTATTGGTACTGACCTGTTCATACTGGCTGCTAAATTGCCAACAAAAGTTTTCTTCAAGACAACCTTTACTTGCAAATTTAAATAGAAAGATTTTCAATAGTTGTATAAAAGCCTGAAACAAACAAATATAGAACCATAATGTTTGTAGCACAAACTACTGAATTACATGTAGATTTTAATTGAATAGTATTGAAGGTACAGTATATAAAATATGGTTGGCAATGCATTATTTACTCATTCATTTGATGGGAGTCAACAGTCCACATGTATTTAAAATTTAACACTATAATGCATGAGTTACTCATTCATTTGATGGGTTAGACAGTCTATATATTTAAAATTTAACACTACAATGCATGGGTAGTACTCATTCATTTGACAGTCTATATATTCAAAATTTAACACTACAATGCATGGGTAGTACCCATTCATTTGATGGGTGTTGACTGTCTATGTATTTAAGATTTATCACTACAATGCATGAGTAGTACCCATTCATTTGATGGGGTTGACTGTCTATGTATTTAAGAGTTATCACTACAAACACATTTGACCTACATCAATTTTTTCCTGTTGTAGTTCTTTCTCCAATAAGTTGGCCTCTCTTAAGTCTTGTATAATCAAATCTTCCTGCGTAGTTTCCCTAGTGAAAAACACGATATTTTTATGATATAAAAAGCTATCATGCTTGATTTCACAATAATAATAATAATAATAATAATAATTTATTCGAACGTACACTTTTACATCAGTGGCACACGTTGTAGGACGGTGCGTTCCAAAACAACAAATTCATATAAACGGAGCAAAACAAGAAATATAACTGACAAACAAAATTACTTTGTATTATATATTATATATATATATATATATATATATATATATATATCTGTGTGTGTGGGTGGGGTCGGCATGTGTATATTCTCTGTGTTGGTGAATACATTTGTATATCTGTATGTGCGTGTAATTATATGTAAACAGTGTTATGTATGTGTGCATATGTATTACTTTTTATGTATATACAATGTGTATATGTATGTATATATAAATATATATATATGCATAATCTTTATAATATATAGCAAAATAAATAAATAAATTTTTTATCTCTTTGCTTTTTGAAATTTGATGTTTGTTTGGTGTTATCTTTTATTTATGGTTTGGTGTTGATGCATTTTCTTATTGTTTATGTCAGATTCGAGGAACGTTTCTCTTTTTGTATTTTTATATGTGAATAGACCAATAACGTTTATCATATCTTATCTTATCTTACAATTAATTGGAACTGTTTACAAGTGCATGCATGTTAAGAATATGCTTTAAAAAACATATCGAATATATTGTTAACATCATTATTGAAAAAATAATAATTGCTGCCAAGCATAATATTAAGCTTAACATAAAGGTTTGCATTTGAAAATATATCCCAAAAATAATGACAGTTACTTAGTTGAAGAGTATATCTTAATCTTGCAAAGTCGTCAGATCCAATATCATTGAACACAGGGCATTAATTTTCTTGACAATCGCCATCAAAAAGCTGACATATACCAATACTTTCAGGCGTCCAGCTGCAAATTCTACCCTTAAGAGGAAGTGTATTTGAGGGTAATTTAAATTTAATGTTGACGCCCTCAAAATATGTACTATTTTACAAAATTAACTCTCCAATCGGGGTTTTCTTTAAATTGGTGTAATCAATGAGCAATGTCTTACTATACCATTGCTTCAATCCAACTACAAACCGAGGCTTCACCAAGAACTTGCTTGGTAGCGGAAGCCCAATGTGGATTGGGGATGTTTTGGGCTTGTCGGATATGATCAAATATATTATTTGCATTACCTTTATGTAATATTGTTTCTACACAGCTTAAACATTTATAATTTAAGTCCCTACAATTGCAATTCTACACTGCCCTCCGGGCTGATGCATGAATTCCATGGGATGTGATCGCGCATGCGTAAACCAGTCGTGTTCGTTCGTGTGACGACCAGACGAAGATTTACTTTCTCTGAAAAATTTTCGAAGCTATAAATCACGAAAGCTAGGTACACTTTATTATTCTGACCACCTTCTGAATTATATTTGATCATAGATAGGCCTAGAGCATAGTATAGGATTATTATGGATCATCAAGCTGATAAGGACGAATTAGGGCCTAGTACCGGTGACGGTACAGTTTCTAGGAGTTTGGCGCCATGTGCACCAGCAGCAGGTGACGAGGCCCGTGCCGAGGGCTTAGGCCTAGTAGAAATGCTCGCAGGCATGCAACAAAGCATGCAGGCTACTAATGAATTGTTAATGCAATTAACAAAGCGGGGAAGAGATGGAGTATCTGCTTCAGTTCATGGTACAGCTGCACAGACAGCACAAATTACAGCTGCAGACACAGCGAAAATACCTATACCGGCTGCACAGTCAGCACAAATTACAGCTGCAGAGACAGCAAAAACACCTATACCGGCTGCACAGTCAGTAGATAAAGCTATACTTGGACAGCCTATTTCATCCAGATCATGTGATGATGCCTTAAGCATATTTGGGGGTGATTTTGGTAGTGACGCCTCTGATGATGAGGATGACAATAAAACGGATGGTCTGCTAGACCAGTTAGACGCTGAAATGAGACCATGGAATATGACAGCTCCCCCCCCCCTCATTTCAGAGAAGCTAGCACAAATTGTTAATGAAAAATTTTCAGTAGATTTGGGCTTGGAAAAAAGAAAGGAAATTTTAGAAAAACATAAAATCCCAAGTAACTGTACTGAACTGGCTGTTCCAAAATCAACACACAGATATGGGACAAACTTAAAGGGTTTCAAAAGAGGAAAGACTTGCAAATGTCTGTACTACAAGACAGCATTATGAGAGTGACTGGTACCCTTGCCCATTCCTTGGATGACCTACTCAAGGTGAAGGATGATAAGATTAAGCTCAATTTTAAGAGCATGGCATCAAATCTTTTAGAGTCTGTCGCTCTATTAGGGCATGTGCATACTGAACTCTCTATTAAGAGAAGAGATATGATTAAACCTCTATTAAGTAATGAGTTAAAGAATTCTTGCACAAGGGCAAATAAGCCAGGGAAAGAATTCCTATTTGGAGATAATCTTGCAAAGCTGATCACTGAATCAAAGATAGAAACCAGGGTTATGGCATCACAGAGTGCATATGACAATAAAAATATCCGATATCACCCTTACAGGCAAAGACAGCATTTTTTACCGTACAGAGGGAGGGTTGGTCAGACAACTCATTATCCCTCCCATTACAAGAATCCAGGTTACCTTCAGGGAAACAGACCTTATCAGGTCAAGTTCAACAAGAAAAGAGGTGGACTGAAAAGAGAGTAGAGACTCAGGTAAGAGATTATAACATTACTACATTCAAGGCAGGGAGACGTATAAGAGACAGT